AGAGTGAGAGTGAGATATAGTTTATTAGAGTGGGAGCGAGAAAGTAAGAGCGGTAGCAGCCTCGGGCGCAAAGGTCACAGCATATTGCTACAACAGTTGTATGGTCGTTATAAAATTTGATCGTAAAAACAGCTGGCTACAGAAGGTGTTAGCGAGCGTTCGCATAAATAAAATTTGATATATTGATTAGAAAACAAAAAAACAAACAAAAATAATGCAAATACGTATTAAGAACTAATGCAAATCCCCATAATTTGTCGTTTTAGCTAAAATGTTCTTTTCATTATATGTACAGGCATTTACTCTTCTATGCTTTACTACTGACTTGCTGCCAGCTGAACCACGTAGAGCTTATAGATTCAGTGTACGTCGCATGGGCACACGTGCTTCTTGCCTTGCTCCGTCAATCGTATTTCTTTGGATGACGGTGATGCCAGCCTTCGTCTTTTCGAGACCATCAACCAGTCGGCTATACGCACCATCTCCGCAGATTGCAGGTGCATATCGCGAGTCCTAGGTCAGCTTAGGTCAGGTTAGGGAGTAACACACGAATGACTCGTACTTCGTACGCAGACCTGTCCCCTGTGAATGCCTTTTATGAGTGCCAGGAGGAGGCACATCATTCTAACCGAACTTATTCCATATTGTCAGCATATATACTGTCTGTTAAACCATTAATTATCCGTGCTGAAGCTGTGGGGCTCCGATACTTTCACTTCCGCTTCACCCCCAAACTCTTTAAAAAGCGTAATATCAAACTCTTGCTGCGCCTTGTCTGCAAAGCTTGACCTTGACTTAGGAAATGGTGAATGGATTCCTCTTTTTCCTCATTCCAACAAGTTCTGTAGAGAGTGCTTACGCCGTCGACGGAGCATTTGTTACGACTTTTGTTGAGTCTTGGCCATAGGCATCCTGAGATCTCACAGTCGTCACGATGGATCCATACGTTATTAGATACGGTTGTAGTGTTTCTTCAATCCCCCTTAGTCGAAAAGGAATTGATGGTTGTAGGAGTTACCCACTTCGCTAATCTGCATTTTCGAGCCGTGCCTAGCCATCATGTTGGCTATTTCGTCCCCTTTGATATTGATATGACCAGGAACCAAGTAGAGAGAGGTTGTGACATGACTCAGTTAAGGCAGCGTTACATGAAATTTCCGAACTACTTTCAACTTTACCACCTTGGAAGCTGAAAGTTTCAATGCCGTCTGGCTGTCAACCAATATATTTAGTGACGTTCCCTGACGGAGGCTTAGCATTCCATTTGCGACAAGCCGACTTCTCCGCCTAAAAGGCACTGCAGTTATCGGACGGTCGATACGATTGCCTTATCTATATGTCCTTGGAGTATAGACTCCAGCCGTCTCCTTTCTCTAGCCTTGAGCCTCGGTATAGATGGAAGTGCCATCATTTACCCACAGTGGATCGCCTTCCCAATCTTCCATATTTGGAAAATGTATGGGAATCTTAAGCAAAAATTCCAAGTTGGCGTGAGGTACTCAGTTTTGACTTCTAGATCGGCCTTGATTCCGTTACGCCGTCTACTATTAATTACCTCTTAGACCGCTTTTATCCAGTGCTTAAAATTGGCCGGATGCTGTAGTGTGCACACCGTATGGTATGCGGTGACAGCCCTCAGTTTTTTCAGAAGGCTCTTTTGCAGGTATAGTTTGCTGCTAGGCCCTTCTTTGCTCTTTCCTCTATCGTTGGCAGAAGTTTTGCACTTGCCTAAGTATTTTGCTTCGGAGGATAGCTTTAGTCAAAGTCCTTTCAACGTTTATGGTCGTCGAAGTTCAGCAAGGTGGGATCATACGAAGGAGATATAGAATATATTTATACTTTGATGTACAAATTACAGAAATAAAGCATGCATACCTATTCATGTACTCATATATGCACATACATATGTATGTACATATGTACTTCTGCACGCCTGACTTCACAATTTTTTGACTAGCGACAATTGCCAACAAGTACGCAATAAAGAAGGATTTGTCACTTGAGATTTTTAAGCTTTGCTATTTATGCACCACTACTCCCAGACTAACACTTCATCTATGTGGTACAAGTACTAGACCGAATTACATATGTACATTAGACTGCATCACCAAAGAAAAGTTGCGGTTTTTCCGCCGGGATTACAAAATTTATTATATCCACCAAACGTCCACCAAAATATTTCGGAAAAATATAAAGATTTACGTGAGCTGGACCGATTTGAAAATACCTCCAAAAATGGAATTTTTTGTGAATAAAAATAGTTTCTTCATCTTAATTCAACTCGGAATGGGGTTCGTTCGATCTACCTTTCTCTTCCCTCCTTTGAATGAGTTAATTAGCAAAGAAATAAAAAGGGTGAGAAAATACCTTTCCAATGATACCTCACAAGTCTTAATCGGAATAGTTTAGGTTCAGTTATTCAAGTTTTTCTTATACCAATCTTTGAAAAAAGTTAAAAAAAACAGCATCAAAAATCTCATTATTACGATTCCGTTTAACATTTTTTAATTTTTTAATTTTTTTTTTTAATTTTTATGCAAATTTTTTAAGCTTAAACCGATTTGCCATTTGAGCGTATTTTTTCCAAAAAAAATCTTTAAGAAACTATTTTTATTCATAAAAAACTCCATTTTTGGAGGTATTTTCAAATTGGTCAAGCTTGCGTAAATCTTAATATTATTCCGAAATAGTATGGTTGGCGTCTTAAAATATAATAGATTTTATAATTCCAATAGAAACACAGTACCGATTTTTTTTTTGTTCGAGGAGTGATGCAGTCTAATATTCATGTATGTAGATTAGCATGCATTATAAAAAAAGATTGCAGTTTTTCCACCGGAATAATACAATTTATTATTATATTTTAATCACATTATTCGTAAAAGAATAAATAGACTTACCTTTTCAGCTAAACTCTTCTATCATCTGAGGTAATTTTTTTATTTCTTTTAAATTATTTTATTTATAAAAAGCTCGATTTTTAAGGTATTTTGCTGAAATATTTATATTATCTTTGGAATTAAATTGTCCTTCAAAATAAATCCTGCGGTCAGAGAGAAAAAATAAAACCGCCACATTAAATAAAAAAGTAGGTTTCAAACCGATTTATTTATTATTTATTTCGTGGTTACAACGCCATCCCGAAAATCCCGGGGGCCCGGAATAGGCCGAAAATTTAACATCCCTAGTACATACACACACATACATGTGTGCAATATTTGGCTCATCTTTCAGAGTATTTAGTGTTGCCAAACATCTGCCTACGGAACATTTCCTTTTGGTAGAGCATAAATCACATTATTTTTACACAAAAAAAAATATAAATAAAAAGGCGGCCAAATACGAGCCGAAGGAACTGAATGGCGGAAATAAGTACACACATATGCTTTATTGTGTAGTATTTCTGTGTTAAGCTGAAAAGCTGAACTGCAGTTTGGCCCTGGCCTGAGGCCTGTACAAACATGCGCACACACATACATACATACATACATACGTACACAAGTAGACGCACTCAAACAGCGTCCACTGCTGTCGCTGTCCGTAAATGAGATCTAGAACCGAGTACGCTATGGCCCCTGGCCAGTTCAAGCTGTTTCGGCTTTATCCTTTCAAATTTTCTTCCCTTTTGCAATTGCCAGACGAGCTTCCGCTGCTATGCATTGAGGATGTTGGGAACTTATCTTCTAGTACATACATATGTACATATGTATGTATGCGATAGTATAGCATAAACTATTATTCATGAGATACGAGCGAATATTGGCTGCAGAACGCAGTCGCCAGTTCACGCAACGCAATTTACGCACCCCTCGAATTCGCAATGGCTCGTCGTCGTTCCACTTCTCGTAGGGGTTGAATTGCATGGCAACAATAAGAGCGCGCTGTGCGGGATGCCAAAAAAGCTCAAACAGAAAGAAGTAGGAGTACAATTTGCTTTCACTGCAGTTCGCGATTTCAACGGATTTTCGTATATAAATCATTCATTGCTTGAACTGTGCGCTGCACTGACATCCTTACTCTCTCCCTACTTCAACTTCCGACTGGCAGTTTGTGAAAGCTGCAAGCGAATATACTTACATACCTATGTTGTACATATATGCAAGGCTGCGTGCCATGGTGCGTGTATTTGTGTGAGGCGGGCCGCCACACTCTTGACTACAGTCACTTGAGATTATGAATTTCAATAATGACAAATATTTGGGTCAATAACTTGGCTGCTCATAGAGGCGGCAAAGTTGGCCATCGTGCAGAGCAACAAAAACACCAAAAAAAAACCAAAAATCCCTTGCAACCATGGAATAAAAACTAACAACATAAATACTCTCGAGCATGAATAGTTGGCAATAAATTGTCTCTGTTTGCGGAATAAATTATAATCAACAGAGTCGTAGTGGCGATACGAGCGAGTACTTTACTTTATGACAATACAATTTCATAAGGATGCATATCGGTATGTCTATATGTATGTACATACAAACATATGTACGTATGATGCATACACAAAATTTATTTCCGTTTGCAATTTCCTTTTATGATATTTAGTATTGTATTTATTTAAGGACAATTGCTGTATATCCTGTTTATTTAAGTATGAATACATACTCATATGTCATATTTATATGTCATACACAACTGTACATATGTACGTGTGTGTTCATAATAGCATGATTTGTTGGTATCATAAAATTTGCAACAAAGGAAGTGAGTAAAATCTTGTCTACATTTAGTTATGACCGTTTCAGTACAATACATACCACTTATGAAAATGGAAGTAACATATGGAGACAAATATTCTATTAAAATATAAAAAGTGAGTATTTAATTTTTTCAATCGAAATTGTGTGCAAACGCTTAGCACACCGTCTTTGAGTGCTACAAGCAGCACGCCATCCAAACATTAAAATTAGCCAACAATCTATTTATCGATATATCTTCTAGCTTCATCACAGTTCAATAAAAAAAAAGTAGTCTAATATCTTATTTTATTAATTTAAACTCACCTTACAGGCACATTTAAAGCACTTTGAATTCCACTTTATTAGTTCTTGAATTTGAACTTCTTCGCCTTCATTGGAACAAGATTGTAAATTACCTGAGAAAAAAATATTAAAAAAGGAAAATGTTAGTCTTATGTGGTTTTTAATGGTATGAAAGAAATTAAAAATTTCACTCCAAGCTGACATACATATGTGCATACGTATAGAAACGAATTTCCAAAACCGCACTCCCTTCGTAAAATTAAAAAAATACAGCGGCTCCGCTGGCTTGACCATGTCGTTCGAATGGACACCGACGCCGCTGCTCTGAAAATTTTCCGCTCGGAACTGGCTGGTGGTAACAAAGGAAGACGGACTAAGCGAAGAAGCGCTTGGCTTCACTTAAATAGCATTTCCTATAGGCGTCAGTTAGCATAGAAGAAAAAATACTGGCGTGCGTTGTTGAACTCGGGCTAAACTAGCTTAGGCGGTTAGAGCGCCAAAAATTAAGAAGCGCCTTCATAAAAAAAGTGGTTTAGTGCATATTTCCCGGAAAAACATTCTAAGAGTTCAAAATTGACCGGACTATATCATATAGTCGGCATGTACTCTATCGGGCCGTCTTACATAAATCAACTTCGTTGTTTTTGATGCTATCGACTTGAAATTCGGTTTGTGTACGTACATATGTATATTGCATGGAGTTCTGAGTTGACCTAAATTTTTTTAATACAATGTTCTGCTAGTTTTCTTCCGTAGCAGCGACAACATCGTGAATATCACGTTTTTAAATTGAAATTTACTTTATATTAATTGAAGCCTTTAAGGACTGTTTCCAGCTCTCAAAAAAAAAGAAAAGTTCATATAAAATTACGCAACACAAATGAAAAAGAAATTTTTATTCAGAATTTTTACAAAAATTCTAGGTATTCAGTTTTGGAGCCCATTGAATTCAGGAAGGTAAAAGTGACAACGTTGTCCCACCCGTGACAGAGGAATTTAGGATTTTTTTATAATAAATAAATAATTTTTGTGTAAGTTTTGCTTTGTTAGTATTTGTTCGTGTTTCTTTTTATGAAACTAAAAGGGTTCAAAATGTAAAAATTTTTCATTTAAAGTCCAACTCGTATGTACATATATGTACACTGTCGGAAAAAAGTATGGGCACAGTGAGCTCTGTACAATATATGCAAGAATTTGTATTTTTATATTTTTTTGCAAATTTTTTATAAAAATATTGTTCCTACTACATCAAAAAAAATATAACTCTTAAACTTTGTGCAAAAAAAAAGGGAAATGCAATAAGTTTTCATGCCAATTTTCAACCTTTTTTAATCAGATTTTGTAGAAAATGCAGTTTTTTAGCCCAATAAATTTTATTACAATAAAGTGCAAGTTTAAAGTAATAAGGACTTACCGTTGATGTTTGGCAATTTTTTTCATGCAGTTTCTTCCAAAATGAAAAAATTTTAAAATACTTTGAAAATGCGAAAAACCTTCAACAAAATCAACCCGATTTTTGACTAACTTCAAACTTGCATTTTCCATACACGAATTTAATGGGCTAGAAAACTCAAAAAAAAAAATAAAAAATTTGAATAAAAAGTTTAAAATTTATGGAATTTTCCTAAATTTTTGCACAAAGTTTAGAAATTATATTTTTATGTTTTTTGTTGTAGATAGAACCATGCTTGTATAAAAAATTTGCGGAAAAAATTTAATAAAAGTTGTTGCATTTATTGTGAAAAATTCTCTGTGCCAATACATTTTTCCGGCGGTTTACATATGTATGTATGTATGTATAAAAAATCTCCTTCACTCCATTTTCCATATCCATTTACAAGCTAACGCCACACGAAAAATATTATGTGGAAAACAACGATTAGATGATTAGTATTTTTATTGTTTAATTTACAAAATAAATGTATATTTACATACATGCATGGCTGTAGACGGACACTTAAAAGATCACATATGTATGTACATACACGCGCACTCATACCAATCAACCGTTTTATTTATGAGGTACCAAGAACGCACTTCCATTATTAGATAGTAAATATTCCAAACATACAAGTACTTTACCTGTGGCAAATTGATCGGACAAGTCTTTCGACACACAACACGACGCGCCACGTAGAAAAAAAAAGGTAAAAGAATGCTGCTTATCAACACACTTAAGACAATACTAAGTAAAAGCGGAAATGCTTCATCATCAAAGAAGGTACTCCTCGTACATAGTACTACACCACAAACAAAATTCCAACGAGATCCTACACAGCAGCAGTCCAAGAATAAGAACTGCATACAACAAAAAGAAAAAAAAACAACAGAAATCAATGGATTGTCGAGCAAGTTGTTTTTCGTTTCGGTTACTGGAGCTCATTACGATATTTTGTGCATTGTTTGTTATAACTACAGGTAGTATGTATTTATGTTTGTATGTATGTAGGTACAAACTTACGTATTTATTTTACTTTTGTGTGTAGTGGCGCTTGTAGATTTTGTTGATTGTTCTTTAAGTGCACAGCAAATACGATATTTAGCTGCATTGTTTTGTTGTAAATGGCGCTAACATACATATTTAGTGTGGTGCATAAGAGACGAAGATAACATAAGTATACATATACATAAACATAAATACCATTAGCGCACACAAGGGGTGGGTTTTGGGGTTCAAACCCCCCCTAAAGCTAATAACCTGAAATACAAACTGTATCCTAAAGCCAGCTCTCAAGAAAAATCACAAGAAATATTTTTTATTATAACGCACTTTGCTTTTGCTGTAAATTTTCTTAAAGAAATAAATATACGAGCATTTTTTTCTTGAGAGATGCAAATTGATTTAAGAAATTTTGATAGAAGAAAATTCCTATTCCATTTCTTGTGCGCCATTTTACATGAATTTTTGGTTTTTTTTTTGAGAGCTCTTAAAAGTGTAACTGCGAATGTAACCTAAAAATATGCAATGCATACTCACTTACTGAGCCTCAAAGAGTTTACAACTGATATGTCCTTAACAAGGATTCGAGGATTTAATTTGCCCACTTCGAATTCGTTCCACCAAAATTGCCTACATAACAAAAATTCAAATTCATTTAATTTTCTCGGTATTCGAAATATTAAAAAAATTAGGCAATCGTAAAAAATCGCCATCTCATTCGAAAACCAGAAACCAGATTTCGAGGAAAATGAACATTAAAACTTTTTTTTTTTTAATTTTTTTATTACTTTTGCAAGTTGAGCGCATCTTGTGTTTATAGAACTTTATATTAAACAAGTAATTTCAAATTACGGGAAGACCCTTGAGGTACCATCTTTCCGATAAAAAAAAAAGAATTATTGAAATCGGTTCACGTGGTCCAAAGTTATGCGTTAGCATACTATTCCGACGAATTGATAACCTACCCCCTTTTTCGAAGTCGGTTACAAATGTTTGAGTTTTTTGCTAATTTTATGTAAATAAATGCAATTTATGAAACTTCAAAAAGTTTATTTATTTATTACATACTGTACATAAAACTTGCATACATGTACTTTAGTGATCATTTTATTTGAAGCGAATTTTCAGAAGTATAAACCCCTCCCAAAATATATTCCTGGGTGCGCCCCTGATAAATACATATGTACATATGTACATACAAAGACAAATGCCTATGCACTCGGAGTTGAAGGTATGTATGTAGTCTACGTAACTGCTTCAATGGTAACTGTGTCTTCGGCCTTTTCGACTGGCCATTCTTAAAATGCGCACCAAATCGTAGCGAAAAAGAAAACAATGACTTCGAAAATCAGTAAAAGACACCGCAGTAGATTGAAAAGGTATGTGAAAAAGTATGTGAAGGGGCGGTGGAGGAGGCGTTGTGGCATGCAGTAAAAGATCAGAGGACCGCTAGCCAAGACCACCTGCATGGCAGTGGCGATGACGATGGCGCTGCGCTGTAACGTGCTGCGTGCTGTAGCGTACGCCCTCAACCTCTTCGTTGTGCTTCCTTTTTTTGCAAGGGTCAACTTGGTTGGCTTTCGCGGTTGCATTGCGTTTATGATTCCTTAGTATCCATAGTGCGTACAGTTAAGAGCAGAGTTTTAGAAACGAGCGAGAAAAATTTCATAGAAAATTAAGCGGTAGCATACACAGCAAGATGATATAGCTGTTTAGAAAACTTCTGCAGAATGGCTTTCCACTCTACGGCCAAATTTTGATCATCGGTTTAGATTTAATATATATATATGTATATATTTTTATGAGAAGCAATTATCTCTTTAGCGAACTAAAACACTGAATGCCAGGACCTTCAGCTGTATTGCGGAAAGTTGTACTTTAAAACCTTCAAAGATGACATCGTGTTAGAAATTTAATTTCAAATAATTTTGGTTCGTCTGCGCCTCTACAATTTTTGCAAAAATAATTATGGGAAATCGCTGGCCATCTAGAGTAGGAGCGAATAGGGCAGAGCTCAGTATGGATGGCGATGAGTGTTGCCGTCCGAACTTGACTTCGTTAGGAGGTTGAAAGCTCCCTTAACCCTGGAGAGGTAACCGTCTTAGGAGTAACATTATAAGTAAACATCGCAAATTTTACGACTACTTACTTTTGTATGCAATTTTAGAAAAATTATTATTTAAGGTTGATATTTTTAGTGCAATTATTTATAAAGGACTTTGCGATAATTTAAAAAAAGATAAATATGTAAATGAATTCGTAAAATTACAAGGTTTTCCTTCCTAGGGTTAAGGTTATATTCGGGCTAAGTGATTATGACTATTCTGCAATCCGACGACATATGCCATTTCTAAACAGAATAGAAGTAGATTTTTTGGTTTAAAGATCCTTTTCTAGCTGGGGTTCTTTCTATCCTTAAGGATGTCAGAGAATTATTCCTAACTAGCACATGAATATCTCATCGCCTTTAGTTAGAGTGAAGGCCCAATTTTGACAGCGTCCTTGCGAACTCCTGCACCCGACCTAGGTGTTTCTATCTTGGCAAACTCCACTGTATATTTGAGTGTACAAAGGCACACTGCAGCATTCAGACGCAGCAGCAGCAGAGTTATCCCACCGTTCACATAAATGAAAATATCAGAAAAAGGGCTAGCGCCAGCTAAGAAACGCCGT